CCATTAATTGGTTAATGTATGGTCAACTTGACAATTTTAAATAATAATGAAAGATTTAATGTTATAGTTCGTGATATTTTAAGAATAACACGTCATAATAATGACTTACATAGTACTTATTATTAAAAAATGTTTTGCTGAATTAAAAGTGAAAAATTTTCCGATTCTTGCCTTATCAAGCTGAACATTTTGTGTGTACCCCTGACGTTAAAGGAACGATTCTTCACCAATAAATATTCCACCACGCACTATTGCTACTTGATTGGTTCATGAATATATCATTATACCCAGGGGAGCTAACTCTGTGTGGGATCATAGCTCGCCAATTTACCGTGTTTCGGCGTTGAAGACCCTAACCTTCTGTTACCTTTAACGCTGTTTGTGAACAATGGAGGAATTTCCATAATTCGCAAAACTTAGATTCTTTAATCGAACAAGTGGTGTTTATTTGAATGACTTTCTATAAGAGACGACAGCGCTTCGATGATCTTTGCATTGTATTTTTGTGGTACATTGGGTAAAAAGCCAAATCTGAACAGCGGTAGCGGTTATGTGATGGACTAAGCGACATGTACAATATATTTGCAGTCGGTTGCTCAACCAAGTTACATGTGATCGATTATTGTGGTTTTAACGGACCACAGTACCGATTGCGAAAGACTGTCTTGTCCCAAAAAATGCAACATAGAACGGCGGTACCCGATTGCAATCGCTCGGGTATGTATCGTCGGGATTTCGTATTGTACATTTCACGTGCATACACGTGCATTTGAGTATTATTAACTCTAAAAGACCCTTACTTCTCAAATTCCCTCCAATGTGTTAGATATAGTATCTACCACTTGAAAAGTAACCTGAATATACATCCTGTACATGACTAGATACATTACCGTATCCGGGTCAGCGCTTTATGTTGTACACTTACGGCAATAAAGAACTTGAACTTCAATGAGTATAGGTAAGTCTTGACCTTTCTCTGGACATAGAGATGTAGAAACGACCGTTTTCTACTGTTTGATTACAAGAACACCTTCGAGTAACATCAGAATCGGTACGTATCCCCTAGTTCACAGAACATAGCACACAGTGTGACATTGACCTTGATAGAAAGATTATAAAGACGATAGACGACACATTGTCAAAGTTTCATCAAAATATCTTTTATCGGTCAAATGCTACGACTTTTAGACGAATTAGGACACACTCTTTATATTTGGCGTATGACCTCTGGTAATGACCTTGACATTTAGGTAATGGGCATGAAAGTGTTTGGCACAAACAAACATTTATGTATGTGTTCGTTGTGTCATGAAATAAATTCACGAACCGGACGGACGGACATCGCGTAGATCAACATCCGGGTCCACTGGGATGGCGTCAACACTAAGTTCAGCAAAGAAAAGACAGGTAATTATTTTTTGACAATTGAAATACTAAATATACACCTTAAATGTCGCAGGTTTCTTTGATGTCGGTTATCAAATGTTGTAACAACCATACACCCGGGAAACAGGAGGGGAAACAAACCTTATCACGTGACTCGTAATACCAGTGGGACCAGGTAGATAAAACAGCTGTACGTGGACCTGAATCCTTTAATCCGGAATGTGCACCAAACTGCTTAAAAGACACTACTAAATTTCTCTGTTGATAAATTCCTATATTCACTTTGCACTCAACTTATCCAATTTGCGTTTCAATATTTCAGTGTTTAACACGTTGAACAGCTGTTGGAGTTAAACTCGGTCACCCGTCTTTAAGGAAACTTATGGAAATATTGACAAATCTAGATACGTTACAATCTCGTTTGTGCTGTAGTGGATTCAGAAATTTTGAAAGAGAGAGATCCTTTCGCCACTATTTTAGGACATGAGATAAATAAAGCTGCGTTTTAGTTGACGTTTGGACACATGGAACTAATCGTGAAATTGAAACCTCTCCGAAATAAGTTTAAGCCCTTCGGCTAAAATAAGCCGAAAACTGAAGTATATTGGATAAAATCAGCCAACCTATAAAGAGACAACTTTATAACAATACACACGAAACATGAAAATTACGTTGTATTTCCCAAAGATAGAATCACGGTAATTGTAACAACAGATATATATATATTTATTCTATTTCGCATGCGTCTGCATACCTGACCTGTCAAATCTACTAATTAAACTTTCTATGAGCACGCCACCGCAGTGTTCGGCATTTACGTTTGTTTTTGTTGCTGTAAAGTTGCTGTAAATATGACAACCAAACGTTTCATTTATTGATTTGTCAGACTTTTATCTCCCAAGTCGGGACCATATATCATGTAGAAACGGGCAGCGCGTGAGAACCGTAATAAAAATCGTCAAAATGTAAATATTTTCTTCTTTTATGCTTATTTGATGTTTAAGCAACTTGTCCTAAATGTCCTTTTTATGTATAAATGAAATAAGATTTCTCTTGTATTGGATGTTCAAAATTCGAACAGATTTTGACGTAAATATATAGCCATGCTAACCATACTTATATTGCTTTCCTTTCCATGGAATGTCGATTTCATACTTGACCAATACGAGTTTTATATTATGTATCGGAATGTGTATTAGCTACAGTGACAACTGACCTGTCTAAAATGCGGTCAGGTAGGGAATATAAACTGCCATGACCAACACAGATTTTTGTTGTCAGGTATGGTCAGTTTGACGGTTTGTTTTCTGTCTTCTCGATGTTTTCAAAATAAGAGTTAATAACGATGTTTAAATGAGACAAAAAAATATTTTTGGTAGTCAGTTGTCTCTCTATCTCTCTCGAGAGAGAAATACAAACATTACAACGAAAAGTTAAACAGCCAACACTTTTGTAAATTCCAAAAACCTGGCTTATCCGAACAGAAATATTGTCCATGATGTGTCCGGTTTAGACAGGTTTTAATAAAGTTATTAATAAAATAAAAGCAGACCACACTTGACCAACGTGTCCATGGAATTAAGAACGATTTTCATACATATATAACACATTTTATTGTTTTGGAATCATGTCGTTTTTGATGCCAGCTTTCACTTAATCAAGGACTTGAGTCGATCCATTGCAGGTCGGGGTTGCTAGACAAAGGCTGCGTGCACGCATTCTCCCTTACAACTAAATGTACGTAAACCATTTTTTTTTTACATAACCGGATTTCTTTGAGCTTTGATCCACCTGGAGTGCTATTACTTGTTGTAATGGAAATTTTATAATATCATAAGCACTGCCTAACTTCATACGATTTTTTTAGAAAACAGTCTACTGTCACGCATTCCAGTTGGTATAATTGCGACTAATGTAATTTTGTTAGAATTTCTTTCAGATTTGGACAAATTCCTCCGTCACGTATTACACGAGTCTGTGTCGTGATATATACCAATTATATATATTCAGTCTGTATAAAATTTGAAATTCACGCTGGACTCGTCGACAAATCACTTTGTACTTTTCTTACAATAAAAGATATTTAATAAAGACGATTTATGTGTTGCTTTTTTCTCTCTTAATTTCACCAATAACACATGAAATTGTACCTTCTGGTATCATGGTTGACATGAAACAATTATTATTGCCGAGGGAATAAAATGATTCCTTTCCCGGCTCTTTACTTTGAAACGTTAAGCTTTAAAAACAATTTGACCTATCAATACGTTTGGAAAAAAAATATACTTGAATTTATTTCTCGAATGTGGGTTAGTAAGGTTTCGTGATCACCATAAAACGTGTACAAATGAATAAAACAAGTCGTAGCTTTAAACCAAAATTACAACGTAACTCTCAAATAGAGTATCAGTGCAGGAGTCCCTTTAACTGAGCCCCGATACGTTTAACAGAACATGTTTACTGACCAAAATACCTCCAATGTGGGTCGAGACTGGATGTAGTGTATACTGATGTATACACTCCGATCTATTTACAAGAGTAATGTGGATATTATATATACGTTATAAATATTCTGGCATCGGCCATCTGCTTTGTCCTATTCGCCTGCCAACATAATGAAGAGAGTTCAGTGGAATCTTTTGGTCTCATTTTCATGCGTCATATGGTTTCCATAATAGCACCGGTGCCAGTTACTTTGACGGTCCCCATCCCGTGGGAATGCGGGATTTCACATTCCTCCAGCACTGCTTGATGCGGTTACGTCTTTTTTATTAGCTAGAATTTGCCATAGACGATTCCCAAAATGAATATTACATTATGAAACGGCCTGACCTTTGAACACCATGCTACCACTGAACGGCACATACTATATGGTATCATTTACAACAAAGCCAGCACTTTTAATATTTTCCATTTTGTTTGATATGTTGTAGACCTATGACGGACAATTTGTATATTCCAAAGAGACTAGAAAAACATTTGCAAAGTATTAGCACGGAGTTATCTAAGTCCGTGGTATTAGACAATCATTTGGAAGTACATCTTTCTAAAAATCCTAAAAATAAACCATTCCGTCAGTGTCTGTGTTCGGAGCCGTACAAGTCACTAGCTTCGAGATTAGATCTCTCCGATAACAGGAGAATTTTATACACATCACACGTGGTAGATTCCGAGTTGGAAGTTGGCGAGATCCTGGTTTCTTCATCACCATCAGACAGAGCGTGTCGGTAAAGGCAAGAAGTAGGTAATAGATTCTCTCGCCTACCTAACTGTGAATAGCGATCAACAAATGTACAAACAACCCAACTCAATGGGTGGCTACAGTCGGCGGTCTCCCGCCATTATAGAAATATGGTGTAGCTGATGTATTCCGTTATGGTCTGCTTTACTGTGGAATACTTTTCTCAGACATTTTGTTTAGTAACAACCAGGCGAAAAATCCATAGGTTCGGTTTGGTAATTATCACTGAAATTGTAGTAAATTCCCGCACATTCTGCGAACGCGAGGACACCGTGTCGCTTTCCTTTTTGATTCGATGTGCCCTCGGTTCCTTTGCTGGTATCATTATTTCACGTATACTTACAAGATAAACAAATAACATTCAAGTTTAGAATTGTTTCTTTCAGAAATCTTTATTCAACAGGCAATAAATCATTCATATAAAAAAATTGAGACGATCGGCTAACCTTTATGGCTGTCGTGTCTCCATCTGACGTGTACACATGACGCAATAGGCGGTGAACGTTCGCTGTTTTTCCTGACAGCAGACTTAACACAATGACGTCACAGAGACGTTAAAATGTCCAGAGGCCTTAAAAATACCATGGTCTGTGATTAGGAATTTGAATAAAACTTTTAATTCCGGCACCGCTAAGCCATTAATCGCGTAATGCCGTCCACGGCAGACGACACCGGACGTAACATCATGTACGTTTGTGGGTAAAATTTGGCAGAGAACAGAAGCATTGCGGGCATGCTTTCCCGGCTTAATCAGAATGATCAGCACTAAAACGCGTCCATTTTCTGATGCATTCTTGACTAGCCCATAAACAAACCAGCCAACAATGGTTATCTTATTTCTTACGTACCTCGTCTCAAAAGGACGACACACATTTCTGTAATGGATACCGACTTTTTATCCCACTCAATAGGAACATGACCCAATGCAATGCGTCAATATCTAAACCTTATTGTCTTGTAACCGATTTAAAATGGTCTGTAGTTGTCGTGAGACAATTATAGGACAATACTGGTTTGACACCTCGACACCTTATTGTCAAAACGGTCATTATATTGTTTCCATTTTCATACAAATCGAGAGAATTTAAAGTTGTTTACAAACTTTGATGGGAAATATTTCAATTTCGACCTAACCAACATTCCTTCACAGACCATAGCCGTACCTCTTAGCTGGACATACATGTAAGTTATGAGGCCGACATCAACGGAAAACGCCGACTACGCCAACGTCAACACTTCTACTTATTAAAAGGCACTTTTTCTTGTACAAAATATATAAATATACATGTCATCAATTAATTTATTCAAGATAAAAAATCTCATTTTGTAAGTTTAAAATGTGTAGAACCGTTTGTGAATTACCCAAAAGCTTACTATCCAATAACATATCTACAAAATCGTTTTTGGGTTGAGAGATGGGAGAGGTCTAGTAAAGTAGAGCCTCTCTTACTATTATTGGTGCTGGCCATTTGTCGAAAAGCTCAGGGCAACCAATAACTAAATTATTGTAATTCAAAGGTGTGTAGTCAGTCAAACAAAAAACATATGTAATGTCAAAAGTTGAAATTTTATCAAAAATGTCAATTACAAATCTAAAAAAATTGCTTTTCTTTGAATTCGAAGAATCACAAAATATTTTTGATAACTAAAAATTTGTGTATTAAGTAATATTATTTTCAATGTAAGGTAATTTACAATTGCCTACATTCAGGAATATTGTTTAAAAAAAGGATGATATCTTTTCTTATTGCTCAGCTCAAGCAAAAACATGTGGCCTTGACCTTTCAAGCGAAACATTCGGCCTTGACCTTAACAATAGCAAGCAATTCGATGGGACTAGTTCCACATTTACCTGCAGGACAATCAATCTACATACAAACAGGAATGAAAGACATGAGAGCATAATAACAGTTGATGCTTTGACAAACAGGTGAGCATCTCATTTTCATATAACAAACACAGAATCGTATTGTAGAAGTCAGGACAGTCAGGACCGCTTATCATCAAATCTACCTGTGTCTACCTGTACAGGTAAATGTACCTGGGCAGGTGTGCCCGACAGGTAAAACCTGTACCAGCGATGTTGGATTTTTCACAACAGCTGTAGGTTAGAAGTGGAATCTGGATAGTCTGAACATTTTAGCTTTTGTACAAAGCCGAACCATGATATTCCAGACACTTTCGTATTTGTGTAGAATGGAACACCAGTAGTCCTAACCCTTTCAATGGTTTTTTAAAGTAAAAATTCATGAGCAAAGACATTTTACGTTATAGAAAACAACAACTTATTTACAATAACTTCAAATTCCATAAAATAAAACTTTTTAAAAAATTATCCTCTCGAAAGATCACAGGTTTGCAATTCAGATAAGCAGAATCGATAGACTTAAAAACTAAACATTACATTATGCTAACTGTAAGTATAACAATTGCTGAATAACATTGTTCCCTTACATACCAGTAAAACATCGTTGAATTTGTGACGGTACAAGTAGGCTACTAAGTTCTAATGAGAACCTTTGTCAAGATTGTGGTTCAAATAAAAGATTTGATTTTAAAAAAAAATACTTAAAAATTAATTAGTATGATTAAAAAAAAAAAATCAGTATGATTTAAAGACAATTTCTCTATCAGCACCAGTTAAATTACAATAATAATAATAAAAAAGGGTTAAATAAACATACTTGTCGAATTCCAGAGAGAGGAAAGAAGTCGTAGATGCGAATCACATCTGTGGTGACACAAGACAGGGGAGATGACTAGGTAAAAGAGAGGTCGGGGGTCGAGGGTAGGGGGTCAGGGGTCGGGTTGGGTGGAGGGCAGGAGAACACTTGTAGTTTCTCTTTCACCCTCACCAGTGTCTGAGAGGGATGAGGGTAAAACAAAAACTTGTGGAGACGCGATCCAAATATGGGTAAAGGAAGGATATGGGAATAATCTAGTGTGGAAAATGACAAGATATGAAAAAAAAGATTGAAATACCCAAAGAAAAATCCATTCCATTTCATTTGAATAATTATTACATGTAATAATATAATTTTCTTAAACTTTCTTCTTTAACTGAACCATAAAAATATTTTCTCATTCCAACTGACAAGTTGTCAATCAAAACTATTACAATTCTTGAAAGATTGTCGAAAATAAAGCAATGTACAATAAGTTTAGCATGTATTATGCAAAGCTTTGATGAGCTAGAAACGTGACGAAATACTGATATATTGCAATCTGATCTGAGGCCATTATTTGGCATGAGGAATGATTTGGTACAATGTTTGAGGACCGAATAAGTAATTCTGAACCAGGCCTTATAATTGTTAAAATAAAGAAAGAGCTACAACCCTATTGATCATCTTGCAGATTTGATCTTTTCTTTGTTGCAAAACAATTGTATCACAATTTTTTTCCATTAAGGCAGCTTGCCCTGTTAGGGTTTTCGACACCTCTATTCATTAATTTACGACCTGTCAGACTTGTCATCGGAAATGGTTCATCAACTGGACCGAAGATTGGGCATGGTACCAACACCAGCCAATACAAAGCCACCCCGACAGGATCAGGAAATACGGCCCTGTGACAATTGTGGAGATATCTGCAGGTGTGATAAGGCTGTCATGTGTGGGAATAAGGGTAGGTGACAATGTAAAGATGTGTATCACTACGCCAGATAGCATAAGTAGTCCCGTCCCACAAGTTAAAAGAATGCTAAAATCTGATAGAAGTCGGATAAAAATACCGCCACAAGTCATACCAGAAAACATAGATCTGATAGGCGGGTTTCAGGCAGGTGGAAACAAGCTCCTTCACATTACTTACTTGTAAAACGGTACTCTACGCTAGACACTGAGACTCCCAAAATTGTGGCCTTATTATGACTATTGCTATAAAGAAATCGCATACCGCACATTTTCACACATATTTCCCATGCCAGATGACCCTACAGATTCAATAACCATGAACAATTACAATTATGTGTTTTTCCTTTTTTTTACAAAATTTGAATAGATTTTCTTCTGCTCCATTACTATTTTCTAAAACAAGAAAGGTAATATGGCGATAAATCTCTGTAATGGATTTTCTCTGTTCTGGATTGAAAAGCACTGCATAATTGTTTCTATTATGAAACAGGAATTATCTAAAATCTACATGGAAACAATTAAGATGGATGCATACCCCACAGAAATGGCATAATTTGATCTGTTAAACACGCAGCTCAAAATATCACTCGAGCCAATACATTGGCGCACCTCAAAGTGCAACAGCCTACTACATCCGTGACAAATGAACGCCAATGTTTTATTTCACCCAGACCACTCTCACTGCTCACACTCCATCGCTGTCGTCGCAGTCGTTAACGTCCCATGACTCAGACACCACTCATTAAAACATGTGCACTCTCTCCCATTGATAAATTAATTTATAATACACAATCCACAATCAACCTGTCTTAAAAGCGACGACATCTGTCTCCAGATTTATGACTCAACCACCGTTGACAGTTCGTCGGTGCAATCATGCACACTTCAGTCTGCACTGACAGACTGGGGACTCGTCACTATCTCGTCACAATCTCCGTAGGTGTGTATATATACAAAACAGCTAAATAACCAATACACATATCACCTGTGGCGGGAGTCTAGCCCATCCGTCACGTGTCACATGATCCAATTGGCCGAGTTCTATATTGCAGATTGAACATCAGGTGTCTGTTGCAAGTCTGTGTGCATTTATTCTTAACGAATGACAGTTGATTTTTTGCTTTTTAGGCATCAGAATTACTTCACAACAAACAACAGAATCGCTTCCATCCTGTCTTCTTGGCACAAGGCTTGCCCGACACCATTGGTGGTGGTGATTGTTCGTGTTGCTTTTTGCCCTTTTTTGATCTCCGTGAACTCTTTGTCCTTTTAAGTGGCCCGGAAAGTTTGAGGGCCGAAAGTAATGCTGTGTCAAACACTTCCTTGAGGTTTCTCTGTGTAAGTGACGAGCACTCAATATAGCTTGCACCGATGCGGTCAGCAAGCGCCTGTGCTTCCGATTCAGGGATGGGTTGTTCCTTGTAATGGGCGAGCTCGATCAACACTTTGACATCATTACGAAGATCACACTGTGTCCCCACCAGAATTATCGGAGCCTTTGGACAATGTTTTCTCACTTCCGGCACCCATTTTTCAGAAATGTTGTGAAATGATGTCGGCGTCACGACGCTGAAACACAGCAGGAAGACGTCGGTGTTTGGGTAGCAGAGCGGCCGCAAAGAATCGAAGTCGTCCTGCAACAAACAAAGCATTCAGTTAAATGTTAGTTACCTCCAACACTTCCCAGTTCATACTAAAACAACAATGTACTCTTTTAACGAGATAATAATCATTTGGTTTAAATTTCTTCACGTAAGTAGCGAATGGTTGAAGTCAACCTTGTTCCTACTCTCAATTTTGATGTTGAAAACATGAAGTTGAATCAAAGAGATATACAAAAATTAATAAACTCATCATGTATTCGTATTCGACAAAGTTCATAAGCATAATTTGCATGTACGGAAATGATTTGTAGATTGGTACAGTCAGGAGTTCCATTTCTATCTTAACTTGAAATGTCAAGGTCATTTTAAATTGAACAGTAAGTTTTTCATTGCCCAATGTCAGTTGAAAGTTATTGAAAAAGTTCAAGGCTGGTTTAAAGTTGACACACTGCCTGAAATGTGTAGCTCGCACAAAGTTGGCAGCCGAATCTAAAATGCTGTTTAATTGAGTATTATACAATGTTAAGAAAAACAAAGTGCTGAGACGTTTCAGAACTTTTGACAGATTCTATACAGCCATCATCTGGTTCTGATAACGTAACAGATATGTCACACGGTAATTTTCAACCGGATTATCTGACACCAAGGGTGTAATAATCCGACCTATTTTGATAAGTCTCGCTGAATAAACCTTCAAAACTGTGCCAATTTATAATCACTATAATTTTGGCCATCCTTCAGTTTCCCTGCGGCGTTAGCAGGATTTTTTTAGTTCGATGTGGGGCGGTATTTTGTGCCGACATATATCTGTGTTTTTATATAACGTGTTTTTAAAGTTTGTACCGATTATCAGATGAAAGCGGATCTCTGCTGGCAAGGTACGTGCCAGCTGCTGTAGCAATGACCAGGGTTAATCACTAAAGATAGCTGTAATAGCATATTATTATTCATGTTTTGATATTCAGAATCTTGCCAGATCTGCTTGCATTTAGTCCCAGAGAGCTGGAGTGTGAACTCCTACCTGCACTATAGTATAAACAAGATACACTAGAAGAAATATCTGTGCCAGCTAACTACTCCGGCAGAAGATTTATCAAGATAGAGCATTGCTGAACAGATGGGTAGTATATTTATATACATACACTACAAAAAACAAAACCCTGGCGGGATGACTCAGAGGGAAGGTCTGCAACATTATACTTATTGAACTCTGAAATCATTAAGTCTAACAAATCCGTTTTGCATAATTCACTCGTAAATATTCTTGATAAAGTATTGGTGCGTAGTTATGTCTAATCCTATATTTGTGACTCGCTCGTTTATATATAAACTTCCCGTTTTTGAATGTTAATTACTGGTGTACAAAAATACTACTGTGCACGCTGCTGTGTGCTTCCGTTATCTGCAGATTTTTGTGCCATTCTCCCTACCAAACCACAGGACAAAACTCTCAAAGCCTTGTTACTTTAACATCCAAAAGAATCCCTTTGGGGCTCTTTACATGAATTACTGTGATAACAAAACAAGCACGCAGCAGGATAAAAAAAACAACAACATTTGTAATAGAACACAATAGAAAAGAATGGAAAAGAATCAAATTTGAAGTTTATGGTTTATATTTGGTTGAGATGATGCTCAGAACAAAATGCGCCCAGTCGTTTACTTGTGCACAGGGGAAATCTCTGCGTGACTGACTCAACATCTATAGCCAAGATCAGCTGTCACGAGCCAAACTTGACGTACACAATGTAACTATAGGTACCACAGGAGAGAGAGAACAGCAAAACAACTAGGCTGCTATAATAACAGGCATTCTCTTGTCTCTAGGCCGACAGAAAATTATTATAAGTTCTAGACATATACCACGATATTGTTGATTACCCAGAGTTCCTTGACTCCACGCCTCTCAGGGGGTGACGGTGGCGGTGGGGCAGTGTAGAGGGAGGACAACAGGTCGATAAATTTCAACATAAAAAGCCTTTTTCAAGTAGAAAGTGGTTATGTGTGGGGGTTTTATTCATAATTATGACATCAAAATTATGAACTTTTACATATTTCAAGAATTCTTATCAATGTAAGAAGATTAGAGAGGAACAATGTACCTACATTATCCACCTCTAGTGATAAGGCCAGAAGCAGGTGGCTTTTTAATTTGCTATTTCCTCAGTTGATTACGAACCAAATTCAACCTATTTTACATTTAAATTATCTTTTTGATCAATTTTTCCTAAGCTAATTAATGCAAATGAAACGAATCTGTACTTTTTGCACACCAACGTTTTCATCCCCTCATCCCTTGGAAGAGAAAACATTCCTACAAACTCCCCCCTCCCCCCTTCAAAAAACCCAAAAATTGTAATAAGCTAAAAATGTGCCCTTACACTGAGAAGAATGCATTAAGACCTCATTCTCATGAGGTGGATATGAGTGCTAGTTCATAAGAGTCTGTTCCGTCACACAGAGCAAATTATAAAAAAAAAAGTGGGGAGGGGAAGTTAGAAAGGTCACACAATTACAGGGTACCTTCTCCACTTAACGCCACCAAGACTTGCACTGTGTAACATTTCGTATGGTTTGTTAATGTTTAAATTCCCCCCGTGAAATTGACCCGTTCACAATAGTGGTGTTGGGTGCTCAATTGTGTGGTCGAGTACCCTGCCACAATACCCGTACCGCCAACAACGGATCTATTCCTGGTCTGTCAAATGCTTGAATGGATGGATACATGCTATATGACCATTCGACTGAAATACCAAACCTATTAAATCAGGTTAAATACTGATTCAATGCTACGTTTACCCCCAGGTACAGAGTCTACCAATTTGTTTTCTCCTTTGTATACGAATGTTTTTTTAATATACATTATATCTTTTATGAACCTAAATGAAATTCCTCAGAAACAATATCAGTATACCGAAGGGGTTTATACATACAATATTTTTCGGTAATGTGTTTATGAAAAGATCTGAAGCATTTTATCATCTACCGTCCATGTATATATATATATGACGTTATATGTAAATTGCGTGAGCCGTATTCCAGTAATTAACATTTGTAGTTTGATGATTGCCATAAGCTTTGGGGCGATGACTCATAACACGACAATGGTCTTAGTTGTGGCGAAATCAGTACCAATTTCCATATAAACCACATAAATGTAGGGGAACTGCTCGCTGTTGCTCCAATGAGGCTTTCTGGCACTGCAGATGTATTGATTGATATGCATTGAAGCATTGCCCAGATCTAATAATGGATTCTTGTGGTCGTAAAGACTCAAACACAAATTGAAATGTCATAAAGATAAGTGACACACTCAGTATGGAGGAATGTGTGGCAAGACAATAAATCAAACCTCCTGTTTTGGAAATTTCATTTAGACATTGTCATAATTTTATAGCCGAAAATAGAAGGTACGTAATGGTTCATTGACAAGCGCAAATGAGTTTTATTGTGTGAAGATAAAAAAAAAGGTCTCGTTAAAGTTCGAGAGAAAAAGCAAATGGTTCTGCAATTGTCAAACAAATTCCTGGTGATAAAAGTGATTTCAAATTTGGAGACAACAGTAAATAAACAAAATTATTTTTAATTACTGGTGCAATAATTCCTCTACAGAAAAAAACCCTTTATAACATTTTTTGGGGGAAAAAAGGAATATCATGAAATATAATCAACCTTAAATATACTTGTATATGAATTGACAGATATCAAGTGATTAGTAAACTGGACAGTTCTGCTGTAGAAAGGTGTTGAGCGCCTTGTGCCTGATGTCAGCTAATTGACAGGAGCCCTAAATACAGATCTGCGTGACCTTAATTGACCCTTAGATTTGTACATGGATTGACTACATGGGCCCCTAGGGGTAACAGTTTTAATGGCCGACATTACTAGACGCCATCATAACATCAGTCAATCAGGTGAGATGGATGGTCAGTACACCTGAACACTTAACCCAGCAGACAACCAAGCGTACTCATTAGAATGGTATGTAAGACAGATTGAGGAAATTGCATGCTGAACAAGAACTGACAATGTTTTGCAATTCATTGTTTTCAACGACAAAACAAAAATGCAAATATGTTGAAATTCATGAAAAAACGTATTCTACAAAATATGTTTTACAGAAAAAGCACATACTTGGTAATTACACTTCCCATAATATTTCCTCCCAAGTACACTTCCCATAATATTTCCTCAACACAATTGATCCTTCATGACCACAAAATGAAATTGAAAATTGTTTGAAAACTTTCAAGCTAACAGAGCCTGTACATTTTAATCACACTTGGAAGAAAAACAGCAACTTGATTCCATGTATCAGCAAGGATTCCATTCGAAGACATGTTCAACCAAATGCTACTAAAAATAAAAAGCTGTTTCATGTTAAAAGATGGCTGCCCACAGCCTCTGAATCATAAACCATTACGAGATTGTGCCGATATCAGCATCACAACACCCTAGTAACATCAACAGTTCTGGGTACAGTCGGAATTGTATCCAGATCATTATCGCAAACATTTCTAAACGTAAAACAAGATGAAGAAAACTGGGTCAAAGTTAGATTAACCCCATAGATTGATGAACACATTTTATAAAAGTTAAAATCTGCCAATCCGGAGAGAAATAATTTTATGAAATGCCTGAATCGGGGAAAAATGAGATATGTTAGTAAGACTACTGAAAGTGATAGTACAAGATTTTTTCAAATCCAGGAAAACAAAATGGTAAATGAAATATTTTTGAAAAATTGGCTGCAGATTGAATTCTCGCCATTTAATATGTTTATTATCAGATATTCTCTTCTTTTATAATTGAATCATTAGGTAAGAATTAAGTCTGCAGAAAAGATTACTGTTCGACAAAAATACAGTTAGTTTTGATATTTTAAGAGTTGAGCCCTTTCAAATCCAAGATACCAACATTTACCCAATCTTGAACAATTTATCAATTTTAGAACAACATTTGGAAAAGCAAAGGATGTATGTTGTAATAATAATGGCTGCTGAAATAAACCTAAATCACATCACAAGATC